GAACATCTCGTCAATTGGCTTATTGGTTGGGTTAAAGACTGCACAAGGGATCGTCTTTGCTACCTGTACTGAGTATTTGCTGCCTGAAAATATATTTACCGGTCCATCTTGGCTAGGGAGTAGAACCCTGATTATTACTCTTATTTCTCCCAACTGTACTGATCCCCCGTGGGGTTCTGCATGGATCTTATCTTTTTCTGTTAAAGATTTGATCACTATTCCAAACAGTGACATGTTGGCATCCATAAACACACATGGTGCCATGGGTATAGGTTGATTAGCAGGGAAAGCATGTTTTGGATAGTCTATTTCTGAGGTTTGTAGCATCTGGAGTAGCCTGTCCGCTGGCAGGTGATTGTCAACCTGTCCTGGGAAATTTATCATTAAAGTTTGAAAGAACGTGCTATTCTGCATCAATGTCAACCATTCTGATTGTGATAGTGGTAGGACCAGTTTGTCTGGCTCTGTGTTTTGCCCAATGAAAGCCTTTTTTACATCAGGGACACAGTGTTTTGGGCTTGCCCCGTGTGTCAGCATTTGGGCAGTTTCACCATAGGTGTCTTATTTCCTGGCATCCCCAAAAAACTGGAGGGTCATTAGACTTCTTTTTGTTCAATTTCTTAATGGCCACAGTTAGGGCCTATATGGGTGTATCGATCAGCAGGGTTCACCGCCTTTGTGGCTACTATCCATTTAGAAATGTCTTCATTACAGACTGGGGCGATTGCAGCTTTTGCCTCTTTGGTAGCACCTTCCCAAGCTAATTGTTTGACCAAATTGTCTTGATCGGGGCCAGGCAGTAATCTTTTCTCTACTGCCTCCAAGACTCTGGCAAGGAAATCGGGGAACCATTCGCCTGGGCCTTGAACCAGATTTCTAAAGAGCTGACTATAATTAGGAGGATTTATATTTTTTAAGGCTGTAAGTGCCAAATCTCTGACCTGATCAAAATAGGCAACTACACAAATGAGGGCCTGTTCGTGAGGATATATATAGGTGCCATGGCTTGTAAGCATATCAAAGGTTACTGCTATTCCATAGGCAGCATTATTTCTTGCCAGTTTCAGCCTCTTCCTGATAGGAGGCTTTCCACTGTAAAAACTGTGGTCTCAACAAGCATGCTTTGAGCAGTGCAACCCAGTCAAAATGAGTTTGAAGGTTTGCTGCCCATTGTGTGAGCACGTGTTCAAAGTAGGGAGAGTCAGGACCTGACTCTTGAGAAGCCTTTTTTAGCATGGTAAGGTCTTTTATGGGCATTGGAATCCAGGGCCTGAATTCTGCATCCGCTCCTACATTAACAGCAAACGTACAGGTGGGATGGGGTCTAGCAGCTGCCCTAAGAGCTTGGGGTGTCCGAGTACTGCCACAAATGTGGGGATCCTCATGGGTGCGGATGGGATGACCTGACATGAGTTATTGTCTAGAGGTTCTCTGAGTTCTTTCCACGGGTATGTGGGGGGTGGCTGACTAGGCATTGCTACATTGTTTGCTACCTTGTTTGCTACATTGTTATTTTCACTGTCGGAGCTCTCTCTCCCTAAGTCATCAACCACTGTCTGTGAGACAGGGACCTGGAGTGTCAGGCTCTTATCACTCACGGATTCATTATCTTTGATAATCTGCACAGGATTCTGAGAGGGGGGTATCTTTCCCATGTTTGAGTGTTTAAGAGCAGCGTGCCATGCCAACTCTAGCCAAAGGAAAGACACCCACAGCACTGCTGCCATATCAAGCAAATTCCTAGCACCTCAGTGGCTGATGGCATTCTGCAGAGGTTCCCTACGTTAGACGAATAGACAGTGGTGTGATCGTACATATGGTCTGTGCTTAGTGGGGGACTTCCTTGATTCACTAGGTCAAGGCCGTATGCCCACACGGTGTCTCCGGAGCGTCACCTCTCTCGAGTGAGGGAAGATGACTTGGTTCCGAATTCTGGGATGATCAGTCCCTTATGTGAATTCGCCGGACGAACCGAAAGTAAAAGGAGGAGCCGAGAAGTGACGTAAGCTTCTGGGTGGTGTGTGCCTAACCTGGGGTCACTTAGACTGAGGACAAGGACAAGGAAAGGGGCGTAGGAGGGGGTTCTGTGCTCACCCTCACAGAACCGAACAGCATACAAAACACCGAGGGGCCTTCTTGCAGAAATCCAGGGGGACCTTGCCGAGTCTGACACGTTCTCTCTTTCTCAGTCACGTTGGCGCGCCAGATGTTGAGGTGGATTTCGTTGGAGAGGATTGGTTCTGAGAGGAGGAGCGTAGTGGGGGCAAGAGGCGCAGAGTCACCACACAGACCCCGGGAGTTGGGTGAAAGCAGGCCAGAGGCAAGCAGCCCGCAGACTCATTTATTTCAGTTGCTACAGCTGCTTATATAGCCAAGGCAGCCAATCCGGTCAAGGGGCAGTCTATGCCCTAACCAATCACAGCCTGTTGCCAGGCAGTTTCCAAAGCCATCCAATCACAGCCTGTTGACAGGCAGGCTCTTGTTGCCCGGCAGTTTCTGAAGCCATCCAATCATGGCCTGCTGTCAGTCAGGCTCTATTGTCATGTGGTTTCTGAAGCCATCCAATCACGGCCTATTGCCAGGCAGTTTCTATTGTCAGCGGCCATCTTGGCATGACCTTTTCACCTCCTCATTCCACCACAAATAAATGAATAAATCTTTTTTTAAAAAAAGAAAAGCATTTCACCCACTATGATAAGTATACTCACAAAAATACTTGATGTGATGATATTTTCATCGTGGGACATTTCTGGTGGCAGTCTCAAATGGTGACACTGCTGTGAAAAACAGTCGGGCAGTGCCTCAAAATGTTAAGCATTCATGCCATATTGGCTTTCAATTCTACTTTTAGGCACAGACCCAAGGGAATTTATGATGTCAAAAAACATTTTTTAAAGATTTATTTATTTGAAAGGCAAATAACAGAAAGGTATGGGAGAGGGAGAAAGATAGCAGGAGCAAACAGGAGCCATCAAGCCAAAGAATTTTTCCTTCCAAATGGCTATAAGACCCAGGGTTGGGCCAGGCCAAAGTCACAACCAGGGACTCCATCTGTGTCTCCCACATGGGTGGCAAGGACTCAGTTACTTGAGTTAGACTCTGTTGCTTCCCAGATGCATTAGCAGGGAACTGCATTGGAAGTGGAGTAGCTGGGACTCAGCTGGTACTGTAATGGGGGATTCCAGCACCCCAAGTGATGACTTAAGCTGCTGCACCACTGTGCCCACCCCTCAAAGAATATCTTTATAACAGATGTTTATAACAGCATTTCTTCTATTAACCAGAGAATAGATATGACCTAAAAGTGTATCAACAGGTGAGTGGATCATTAAATGAGTATGTAAATATATATTCTTACTAAGAAATATTTAACCAGGAAAATGCATGAAATACTGATAAGTGTATGAGTACAGTATTATGACCTTGTAAGAATTATCCTAAGTCAAAGATGGTACTGAGAAAAAAATCAAAAATTGTGTAATGTCATTTATATAAGATGCCCAGAATAGCTAACCATATGGAGAAACAATGAAAATTGATTGCTTACTCCTGGGTTGCTTCTTTCCTAAATCTGTGGTGACTTTTAAAGGGTACCTTGTTTCTTTTTGTAATGACAAAAATGTTTTAAATTTGTGGTCATGTTTCTTATATGGTTTTTCTTGGAATTTTGGATATAAATATGAATAATTATACCAAAGCACAAAATGACATGTTTCCAAAAAATGACAAAATATAACATAATTTAGAAGAACATACATTTGTGTGTTCTGCATTGTCAGTTATAATGTGATAATTGCACACTATCATTTCTGCAGAAAATATTTACCAGTGATACAGAATAGTGAATACATTTGTAGAAATTTGTTGTATGGTAAATCGCATTACATACTCAACTGATAAATGGTGCTTCTAGATATAATTATTGATTTAGGAAGTAACAAAAAATAACCATTAACTCACATCATAAAGTTTTGTTACATATGGTTTTCAATTTATTAAATTATTAATAAATGATTATTATAAAACTGTAATCAAAATGTTTATGATATATAGCCAACTAGCTTAGTTAACAGACATTTTGCAACTATAAGCTATATTGAATATCTTGATACATTTTAATATTAAAAACTTATATTGCGGCCGGCGCCGCGGCTCAATAGGCTAATCCTCTGCCTTGCGGTGCCGGCACACCGGGTTCTAGTCCCGGTTGGGGCACCGGATTCTGTCCTGGTTGCCCCTCTTCCAGGCCAGCTCTCTGCTATGGCCCGGGAGTGCAGTGGAGGATGGCCCAAGTGCTTGGGCCCTGCACCCCATGGGAGACCAGGAGAAGTACCTGGCTCCTGCCTTCGGATCAGTGCGGTGCACCGGCCGCGGTGCGCCGGCCGCAGTTCGCTGGCCGCGGCGGCTATTGGAGGGTGAACCAACAGCAAAAGGAAGACCTTTCTCTCTGTCTCTCTCTCACTATCCACTCTGCCTGTCAAAAAAAAAAAAAAAAAAAAAGAATTCAGGGCTAGGATATAACCTCTTAGACATTATAAGTGATCATGCTGGACCAATGCAAATAGAAACTGAAATTCTAAAAATTTGTAGCATGCAGATTTGGGACAGAAAGCCATGTTGTGATGGGGAATGGGGTAATCTCAGCGCAACAGAGCTAGATAAAATGAACTTCTATTTGTTCTATGAAGTATCCCAATCCTAAATTTACTCCCAAGCTGAATATTCAGTAGGTAGTCCATAAGAAACAACCGTGTTGCTCATAATGAATAGTGAAGTAGAAAATTTCAGTCAACAAAATAGAAATTGTTAAAGTATTCAGTAGAATTTATTGAACTGAAAAATGCAGTGTGTAAAATTACAAATAAAATGGATTAGTTCAAGAAAAGAATTGAAGTAGCACAGGATTAGTGATTTTGAAAACAAATAGTAACTATCCAATCTGTATATCAGGGAGAACACATTGTTGAAAAGTTAACAGTGTTTTGTTGCCGGCCCTGCAGGTTAACGCCCTGGCCTGAAGCGCTGGCATTCCATATGGGTGCTGCTTCTAGTCCCGCTGCTCCTCTCGGATCCAGCTCTCTGCTATGCCTGGGAAGGCAGTGGAAGATGGCCCAAGTCCTTGGGCCCCTGCACCCACGTGGGAGACCCAGAAGAAGCTGGTGGCTGCTGGCTTCGGATTGGTGCCGATCCGTTTGTTGCAGCCAATTGGGGAGTGAACCAGCAGATGGAAGGACCCCCCCCCACCACCACCGCCTCTCCTCTCTCTGTGTAACTCTGACTTTCAAATAAATAAATAAATCTTTGAAAAAAAAAAGTTAACAGTGTTTCAAGTACCCATGGGACAATACAAAAATGTTAAACTTTTATGCCTCTGTAGTCACAAATTGACTGGAGTAAGAAATAATCACAGAAATATTATTCCAAGAACTATTTCCTGGGGACAGGTATTGTGGTACAGCGGGTTAAGCCACTGTCTGCAAGGCAGGCATCCCATATGGGTACGGGTTCGTATCCCAGCTGCTCAACTTCGGCTCCTTCTCCCTGCTTCTGTACCTGGGAAAGAAGAGAAAATGGCTTCCATTCTTGGGCCCATGGCATCCACATGGTAGAAGCAGAGGCAGTTCTGAGCTCCTGGTTTTGGTTTGGCCCAGCTCTGGCTGTTGCAGCCATTGGAGGAATGAATTAGCAGATGGAAGTTTTATCTGTGATTCTACCTTTCAAATAAGTAAGTAAATGTTTTTTGAAACTATTTCCTAAAATGTTGTGAAGGCACAAAGTTACAGATTTAACAAGATCAGTGACCTTAAGGAACACAAACTCAAATGCATACCCAGGGCAAACATAAACCAATGATACAAGTCAATGATAAAGAAAAGATTCTTGAAACCTCCTATCAAAATTTAAGTAGTTGTCTCAGAGTACAGCAGTTTGAATGGCTTTCTATTTCTCTTCCAAACTAGAGGCTGGAAAATAACAGAATATATTTAAAGGGCTTAAGGCAAGAAGAGTGAACCCCCAATTACATGACAAGGTAAAATAGATTTGAAATGAATTCAAATGCAATGAATTTAGGGGGCTGGCGTCATGGCTAACTTGGCTAATCCTCCACCTGCAGCACCGGCATCCCCTATGGGTGCGGGTTCTAGTCCCGGTTACTCCTCTTCCAGTCCAGCTCTCTGCTGTGGACCGGGAAGGCAGTAGAAGCTGGCCCAAGTCCTTGGGCCCTTGCAGCTGCTTGGGAGACCAGGAAGAAGCACCTGGCTCCTGGCTTCGGATAGGCCCAGAAACGGCCATAGCGGCCATTTGGGGAGTGAACCAACAGAAGGAAGACCTATTTTTCTGTCTCTCTCTCTCTCTCTCTCTCTCACTGTCTATACTCTACCCATCAAATAAATAGCAAAAAAATTCAATAAATTTTTACGTTTGTGACTTTTGCTGAATATTGATCCATTTGACTCATTATGCAGTTCTTGCAATGGCTTTTGCTTGTTCCTGGCATTATTCCACAATTACTGGGCTCTTGCTTGTTCCTGGCATTACTACACAATCAGAACTTCTAACCCACTTTGGGGTCAGTGTGTAATGCCTTCTTGCTGATGAACATTAAAAATTTTTCAAATTTGGGCCACACCATGGTAGCCCTTGAAGTTTGTTCCTGTGAGGTTTTTAATTTTCCAGTGTGATTGCCCTCTGATATTCATGCACCCTGTTTTTTTTTTTGTTTTTTTTTTGTTTTTTTTTGACAGGCAGAGTTAGATCAGAGTTGGTGAACTCAAGAGCTTCCATAGCCTTGGCAGCTCATGACAAGAGCCTCAGGTGATTACTGATGTCATAAATGAGAGTGTCAATTGTTAAATCAACAATGGGAGTCACTGTACACCTGCTCCCCATGTAGGATCTCTGTCCTTAATGTGTTGTACTATGAGAATTAACGGTAAAACTACTACTCAAACAGTACTTTATACTTTGTGTGTCTGTGTGGGTGCAGACTGTTGAAATCTTTACTTAGTATATACTAGTTGATCTGTTTATAAAGATAATTGAAAATGAATCTTGATGAAGAATGGGATAGGAGAGGGAGTGGGAGATGGGATGGTTGCGGGTGCAAGGGATGTTATGGGGGGAAGCTGCTATAATTCAAAAGTTGTACTTTGGAAATTTATATTTATTAAATAAAAGTTGAAAAAATTTTTAAAAATGCCTGTTCAAGCTTTTTGTCCATTTCTTTACATTGTTGTGTTGTTGAGTTTCTTGAGCTCTTTACAGATTCTGGATATTAATCCTTTATCAGTTGCATAGTTTGCAAATATATTTTCTCCCATTCTGTCAGTTGCCTCTTTACTTTGTTGACTATTTTCTTTGGAGGGAGGAAGCTTCTGACCTTGAATAGCTCTGTTGTTTCTTTGTTGATTTTCTCTCTAGTTGATCTGTCCATTGATGAAAGTGGGGTGTTGAGTTCCCCCATTACTATCATATTGGAGACTGTGTCTCCCTTTAGATCCATTAACATTTGTTTTAAATAGTCTGACACCCTGGCATTGGGTGAATATACATTATAGTCATATCTTCTTGTTGAACTGATTTCTTAATCATTATATAGTGCCCTTCCTTGTCTCTTTTAACAGCATTTGTGTTAAAGTCTATTTTTTATAATGTTAGGATGGCTACACCTGCTCATTTTTGCTTTCCATAACCATTGATATCTTTTTCCATTATTTTACTTTCAATCTGTATCTGTTGGTGAGATGTTTCTTGTAGTCAGCAAATAGGTGGGTCTCGTTTTTTAATCCATTCAGCCAGTCTATATCTTTCAATTGGAGAATTTAAGCTATTTACATTCAAGGTTATTATTGAAAACAAGTTGGTCTCACTGTTTTTCCATATATATTTCTGTTATTTACTTTGAATTCCCCTTGTACTTTTACTAGATATTCTGCCTTCATATTCCGTCATAATGATGACTATGGTTCTGTTTGTCATTTAATTTCCCAGTATTTATGAATGTGCTATTATTCTTGTTGATTCATAGTTCTATTCCTTTGATGTCTAGAAGATATGTGGTATGATTTCAATATTTTTAACTTTGCTGAGACATGATTTGTGGCCTAATATGTGATCTATCCTAGACAATGTACCATGTGCTAATGAGCACAATGTGGCTGTTGTGTGACATGTCCTATAAATGAACTTTAGTTCCATTTGCTCAATAGTATGTTTCAACTCACATGTATCTTTATTGATATTGTTGGAGTCTATCTCTCCCTTTAGTTCTAATAGTTCTGTTTATATCTGGGTGGTCGTGAGTGCATATATATTCATGATTGTTACATCTTCTTGCTGAATTGGAATTTTTATCAAAATATGTCTTTACCTTTTTACATTTTTTATTTAAAGTCTATTTTATCTGATCTCAGAATAGCTATGTCTGCTTGGTTTTCGGTTTTCGTTTGCCTGGTATATCTTTTTCCAATCCTTCACTTTCAGTCTGTGTGTATCTTTGTTTGTGAAGCAACTTTCTTGTAGGCAGCATATTGTGGGATCATGGTTTTTTATTCATTCAGCCAACCTATGTCTTTTGGTTTGTCAATTTAATCTATTTACATTCAATGTTAGTATTGATAAGAACTAACACCTGTCATTTTATTTATTGGATAATGATTCTACCTGCTCTGTTAATGAATTTGGTGGTGACATGTGTTTCAAGTTTACTTCCTAATGCAAGACACCCTTAGGAATTTCTTGTAAGGCTGTTCTGGTGGTGGTGAATTCTCCCAGTTTTTGCTTATCTATAAAATATTTCTGCTTCACTTTTAAATTATAGCTTCACTGGATATATTCTTGGTTGAAAGTATTTTTTTAAGATTTATTTATTTGAAAGGCAGAGATAGATCTTCTACCCACTGATTCACTCCCCAAGTGGCCCCAACAGCTGGAGCTGGGCTGGTCCAAAGCCAGGATCTAGGAGTGTCTCCTGTATCTCTCACATGGGTACAGGTTCCCAAAGGCTTGGGCCATCTTCCACTACAATCCCAGGCACATTAACAGACAGCTGGATCAGAAGTGGAGCAGCCAGGACTCAAACCAGAGCCCATATGAGATGCTAGTACCACAAGAGGTGGCTTTACCTACTACACCACACAGTGCTGGTCCCAGTTTTTTTTTTTTTTTTTTTTGAAGACCTTGAATATCTCACCCCACTCTCTTCTGGCCTGTAGGGTTTCCACTGAGAAGTCTGTTAATCTAATTGGTTTTCCTTTATATGTAACTTGATGATTTTCTTACCGCCATTAGAATTTTCTTCTTTTATTTATTTATTTATTTATTTATTTATTTGACAGGCAGAGTTAGACAGTGAGAGAGAGAGACAAAGGTCTTCCTTCCATTGGTTCACTCCCCAAATGGCCGCTCTGGCCTAGGCGCTGCACCAATCTGAAACCAGGAGCCAGGTGCTTCCTCCTGGTCTTCCATGTGGATGCAGGGCCCAAGCACTTGGGCCATCCTCCACTGCCTTCCCGGGCCACAGCAGAGAGCTGGACTGGAAGAGGAGCAACCTATCTTTAACTTTTAACAATTTAAAGCAGTTTTCCTTGGAAGAGACCTTTTATTGGTTGATTGTGCTTGTGGTTCTTTGACCTTCTTGTATCCGGATGTCCATGTCTCTTTCAACAACTGCGAGATTTAACTATTAGTTTATTTTACAGGTTGCCAAAACTTTTTCCTTTTCTTCTCCTTCAGGAATATCTATAATACAAATATTTCATCATTTAATTGTATCCCATATTTCATGTACTTCATTCTTTAAATTATTTTCTCTTTATTTATCGCTGATTGGGTTATTTCAAAAGCCTTGTCCTCCAGGTGAGAAATTCTTTTTTCTCCTTGATCTATTCTACTGTTAAAGCTCTCAATCATATTTTTTACTTTCTGATTGAAAACTTCATCTCCAAAATTTTTATATGATTCTTCTTAACGAATCTATCTCCTTAACAATATTTTCATTCATTTTCTTCAGCTCAGGACCTAATTCTGGAGGGCTATTGTGTTCTTTTGTAGGTGTCATGCTACTTTGTTTCTTCATGTCTCCTGTGTAACTATGTTGATGTCTGCCCATCTTGTTTATTTGTCCCTTCTTTATGGAGTAGGTTTTTATTGGAAAAGAATTTATGGTTTAGCTGGAATGCAGGGTACCACTTGTCTTGTAGCTTTGGCTTTGGTTCTAGGTGAGCCAAGGGGTGTAGGGATAGAAGTGTGGCTTTGAGATGAATACGTGTTTACTTGGGTGTGTATCTTTGGGCTTCGAAGAGTTTGATATCCATCTTCCTTAAGAATGTGATAGCCCAGGCCTGGTTGTTGGTGTTGAGAGAAACCAGAGTAGCTGCTTCTTGTCCTACTGGTAAGCCTGAGTGATACTGGGGCTTCTGTCACAAACTGCTGTGGCTCTAGGACTGTGTGATATGGACGGACCCTTCCTCAGGTCCTGCTAAGAAAGTCCAACTGCTGCTATGACTTATAACACTAATAGCCCTGGTCCTAGGACTAGAGGATGTGAACAGAATCCTACTCCAGTCCTGTAGGGTGACTAAAAGATATACAGGAGATTTTACTCTGGAGACTATGAGGCCAGAGAGGTTGAATGCAGGTAGGTTCTTCCTAGGTACACCAGGCAGCTTCCAGTGGCACAAGAAATTTAGAACGAATTGTTACAGGCCTAGTGTTGCAGGGTTTAGTGGGATCATCACCCAGACCACCCAGTGTGGCAGAAGATTTTTTTTTATGGGCTGCTTATGATGTTAGGCCCCAGCAGTTAAGTTATATCCCCCTGACTCACATAGAGTAAACATAGCTTTGGGGCTAATGCCAAAAAATTTCCACAGCTGCAGGATGCAGAGCATCAGTCCTTTGCCCCAAGCATTGCCCTGACTATGGGCTGGTGTGAACAGAATAAAGACATGCTACCCAACTTTTTGCTGCCAGAATATTCAATCAGTGTAGGTAGAGGAGATGTAAAAACCAATGCAGCTCCCACGCACCAAGCCTGGCAGTTACTCAAACCTCCGTCAGCTCTCCAGGCTGAAGTGTCAGTAGGTGACTGTGGAATTCCCTCTTAGCTAAAACCAAAAGTGACAGAGTGTGCATTGATTTTTTTTTCGTACATTGACTTGGTAATGTGATGGCTCACAGCTGTCAGTGTCACAGGGGCTGGCTGCAGTGGTACCTGTCTTCTCTACTCTTCTCCCACAGAGTCTTCAATGTTGTTGTTGTTGTTTTCCACTTTTCACTCTAATTTTCAATCAGTCGGACCTCTGCAAATGTAGTCCTCCCATTGTTGTTTTCTTTACCTGGAGCAGCATAAATTAGTGAGGCTATATCCATTCCAACTCTCTTAGATCCTGTCAGTGCGAATACCATGTGCACTAGGTAAAATATATTGTGTGTGATTCGCTTTAATTCATAATCTCACAATCTAGGGGGGGTGGTTAGGACATGGGAATATAGTTTGGGTCAGGGATTCTCAGGAATAGAGAAGCCTGGGTATCAGATAGGCCTGCAATCATTTGAAGGCTGCACTGGGTTGTGGAATTCGCTTCTAACCTTCTCACTCACATTGATGATTGTGGGGTTCACCCATCATTGCTATGTGCATCTCAAAATATGGCTGTTGGATTTTCAGAATGACTCATCCAACAGAAGAGCCGTGAACAAACTGCTAATGTAATTTTTGGCCTAGTATTTTGAATCCAGTATCATCACTTCCCTTTTTTCTTTTCTTTACAATTGAGAGACTTAATGCAACCATATTCCACCAAGTAAAGGATGGAGCCAGTTCATAGCCTGCAACACTAGAACCTCATATGGGCACTGGTTCAAGTCCCAGCTACTCCACTTCTGAGGCATTTCCCTGCTAATACATTGGGGAGAACAGCGGGGAAGAGCTAAGATACTCCAGGGGCCATCTGTTGCAAATGCACAAGCTCTGCTTTGCTGGAGTCTGAAGTACAAACAGTTACAGTTTAGACTAGCAAATCAGTGTGATTGGCAAGAATAGGACATAGATCGTAAATGACCAGGATCTGTTGCTCAAGACAACGGAAGAATGAAATCAGATGCCAATGGCGATAGGCCTGT